GGCAAGCATGGGGGTCGTGCCAATGAGGGACGGGAGCGAGGTGGCAAGACAGAAGAGATGAACGAGAACAGCAGCGGCCGGTTATGTCTGCGTGGTATGCTGGTGCATCCCATCAAGTTTGAGCATCCTTCAGAGAAACCTTGAGCTTAGGGACACGAAACCAAGTTCCTTTTCAACCTTGTCGCCGTCATGAGCAAGGCGACACTACATGTCCTCCCTCTACCAGCGCACACGACAGACATCACCACGCACATATGCATTTGCAGGAGCATCTGTACAAATATACCCACGACTACTGAATGGCAAGACATCCGATTCCTAGTACCACTATGACGATGAGGGAGATGACGCGAATTCTATGCATCTATTTTATCCAGTTCCTTCCTTCGTCCGGCTTGCATTCCGTTTACGGACCCAGCGAACTTGTCCTAGAACTACCTAGACACTTTATTATTTGAACCTTATCATACCTTACTTATTTCTTCACTTCCAACGTTTGGGTATTCTCTCGGCCATGGGTTTCCTGAACGCCGTCCTAATTCGTCCCTCTCGTCTTGGCTGGGAATCATTCGAGGTTGTCTGCATATTTCAAAACCAAAACTCACTGTTTTTAACTTCTCTGTCAATTCTCTGTTCTCTTTTTTTATTTTACCTTTGTCACTCAATCAGTGTGGCATGTCGTTTCTGGGTATGAGGCATCCAGGACCAGACGCGGAAGGGTTCTCCGCGCATGCTACGGGGCGTTCTGGACCGGGGGATTTTGGGAAGACAAATGTGAACATGGTGCGACTTGTATAGATTCGATCTAGTATTAGAGGTGGCAGTTTGGTGTGAAATTATAACTGGGTTTGAACCCAACTTTTTGGTTCGTGTGTTGATACTCGTGCTATAAGCTAAACGCTCTTGGATAGGTAACATCCAACATAAACGTGTTCCAATTTGGCTGGCAATCGGTTCAACGTCAGAGCCTCAGATCTTCCCCATGGTTTAAGGTTTATGGAGATGAGTTTGGTAACCAGATTTGCTGGTGCCTCAAGGCGGCTTCGGTCAAATGTAAGATGAACGAACTCCCTACAAGTGTGAGGAAGAGGTTCGGGGTCAGGTACCAAATTACACATGAACTGTTTCGATACCACATGGAAGACTGATATATAACGACCTACACTACCAATTTCATTCTTTGGATCCCTTTGGTAGTAGAGGTAAGTAATAATTAAAGTCATTTCTCTGTAGTTCTGTCGTTTTCGCGAGACTGTGTATCTTTCTTCTGAGTAGGTGGGCTATAGTCAGCGTTCAGCCTAGTGGATTTTATGAATATCATAATATCACTAAAGCTCTACTGCCTAGTAAGTATTCTTAGCAAGAAGGGGGTCGCTGTTGTCCTACTTTCTTCGTTATCAAGATTTTGTTATCGAAGAATTGGAGTTGATGGGACCGTTGCGTCTGTGCGCGAATCATTCTTATACATAAATTCATCCCCAGGAACAATGTTCTCTTAGAGTGGGAGCAAAAAAAAAAAGGAGTCATTCAGGGCATGTTATCTGTTCATAATTCCAAAGTCGAGGCCTCTTATCAGCTAAGCCGTCATCCATTCAATTGAAGGCGCCTTCTTCCCACTAACCAATCTCCATGTCCCAACTCAGAGTTACACCAAAAACATTAATAAAAAGGAACTAAATGTGAGGTCCAAACTAGCCGTCAACGTAGTATGGAGCAACATGCGCGTGGCATTTCGTGGGGTTTCAGAGAATCCCTTGCCCTATCACATTTGGCTTCGTTCAACGAGAAGGGGCTGAACGCTTCGGACCGCAGAAGGCAAACGGCGCATAACAACGGCTTCCTTGACCCAAAAGAGCTAGCAAGAAGCATCATCTGCAAGAGGCAAAGCCAAGAGAACACAATTATCCTTGAGGTATCAAATTCCCCTGACGCCATCAACACTCAAAAACCTCCAACGCCATGACGCCCAAATGCAAATTTCCGAGCTACGGCAAGGCTGTGCAACTCAAGCGAGTGTCGCCGAGTATACGAGCGATATAGGTTGCTCGTCAGCTCTGTCGCTGTCTCCCAAATCGTAGAATAGGTTGTTGAGAATCAGTGACCCTGTATAATACTGGGCTCCTCGAAACATCTTACTTCCTCAGAACGGCGTCGTAGATACTGACCAAGGCAGTGATAGCAGTGCCAGTCAGGATGCCCTTGTAGCCGCCATAGATGGCGTTCTCGAGGCGCGTTATAGACAGGTCATTCAAAAGACCGCCAAAATTAACGCCTTGGCCGTAAACAACAAACGAAACCAAGGCTTTGACGATGCTGAAAGTCAAGGGATCGACGACATAGTCCGCATGGCTGGGACGAGGGCGTCCGCGCGAAGGAGGAGGGCTTGTCGCGCTCAGGTTGAAAAAGTAGCCAGCAAAAGAGGGGATGATGACGCTGGTCAGTATCCAAGTCAAGGCGGGAGACCAGAAGCTAGACGTTAGAAGAAGGAACATATCAGGAACATAGACCGGGTAGTCTGATGTGCCGAGGGTGCTGATGGCGGGAATCGTAAACGCGTAAACATTACTTAGAATTTCGCGCCGAACGTTCCACAGCTCCCAACCCGCGACACAGAATAGGATGCTAGTGACGGTACTGAGAGTGTCGCGAGTCGCATGACTGACTTCGGTGATTCCGCTCTCCTCGTAAAGTGACGAGACGCGCTGGCGCACAATGCTAGTGGAGCGATCAACAGCGAGAGCAACGTCAGCGGGCGTGGCAGGAAGCGCGATGCGCGATGCGACCTCAGACAGAGCACGACCAGGAGTCTCGACGAGTGCTGTCGATGTAGCCTGGGGAGAAGGGGCATCGTCGCTTCTATGGTTCAGAAAATAGGATGTTAGCTTATATATTCCAATCGCGACGCGCGGTGCATTATTCGTATCGTCGCGCGCCCTGGGTAGATGAAGCCCAATACGCGCCAGAGATCTTGGATGATTGGAGGTCACTTACTCGGGGGTAACTTCTTCCACGACCTTGGAGGTTCGTCGTCGGACTACCTTCAAGCCATCTTCACGGTTCACTTCTCTCTTGATTGGAGATCCTTGGGCCTTGGAGCGACTGTTGAAGTAGCCAGCGAGCTCGGGGTTGGCGAGAAAGCGCGTTGAGTTCTCAGTAAGGTAGTTATCAAGAGCCACACCAAGGTCATCTTTCTTGTAACCGTCGATACTGCATATTCGTGTCAGCGCAAAGAGGTTTCCTTAATCGCGTAGAGGGGTCATGATGGTAAAGTGGGCGCGTCGCGAAGGCGCTTGGACATGCTTGGGCGCAAACATGGGAACAAAGAAAGGCGACGCGGGCAATCTTGGTGAACAGGTGGTGCGCGCGTAGATGGCACGTAGATCAGTAGATGGGGTGTAAAATGAACATACTCTGAAAGACCAACAGACTCAGCAAGGTTCTCGAGTTCGCCCTTCTTCTTGGTCTTCAGCCACGAGTTGTATCTATGGTTGGACATGTTGGTGGGTAGGTTATAAGCGAATGCGCATAAAGCGAATTTCAGCAATTGACAAGGCGTTGTAAGTGGAAGTATAATATGTATACGCAATGGGACACTAGGCCGCGACAAGAAGTGAGCAAATGAAGCTGATGATGGTGATGAAGAACGGAGGTACAAGCTCGCTTGTGTTGTTTGGGGGGGTCCACGTTGGATGGGGGACGGCTGATGGCTGGTGAAGAACGGAAGGGCCCGTGTCAACAATGAGAGGCGGGTCTCGTCCCTTGTTTATGTTTTTTTCTCCCGTGTCTTCTCCTTCGATCTGATGGTCAAGCCCCGCAGATCCCCTTAGTGAAAGGGCATGGATGGTTATGTTGTGACAGAAGCACCCAATAAAAGCGCTGAAATTGGGAGCTCCTAGGTAGGAGATACTGGTACCACTGACTGATTCGCTCCACTAATTGAAGTGTACAGTAGCTCAGGCCAGGGCTCTCGCGCGCCAAATATGACCTCACTCTTCTTTAGTCAACCATTTTTAAAGGAGCTTATGGTGGCGAGCTTTCCATTCAATCCGATGACAACATTTGCCGTAATCGACCTTATTAACGATATCAAATTTGTCGTTTTGACGGATGTCATTATGAACTAATCATGGGCTAATTAAGCACATGGCAGTCGACTACTGACAGTTTAGAGATGGGACAGCACAAAAACATACATGTATAGGTAGGTTAATACCTGGGTATGTAAATACCTTGGGTAGATATCTACAGTACAGTTCACGACCCTTGCCAACAGTTTGGCTACCTAAAAGCTGATGCTGGTACTGTACCTTGAACAAAGTGGTGTAGTCCAATCAACACAACTTGAAACCACAGCTCCAATCATGAGTTCAGCATGTATTATGCAAACACATTAGGAACACATCCATTGGTCATCGCTATGCTATATCCAGCTCACGAACTTTTCTCGTCCTCTCTTAACCAGCCTGACTGGCACATCACCATCACTGATTTTGAGTGTCAGCACTGAAGTTGCTCCCCGTATCTTCTTTCGGCTGCTCGATTGAGCTTCGGCGTAGACTTCGTACCGTGCCTCTCGATCCAGTTGCTCGATTTCTGCATCACTCGCCCAATCATCTACAGCCAACTCTAAGCTGTAGTCCTTGAACAAGACCGCAAGCGTAGCAATGATTTCTACCTAAGCAATCCGTCGGCCGAGGCATGATCTTGGCCCATCGCTAAAAGGAATGAACGAGCCTCTTTCTGGCCGAAAGAGCTGTGTGCTTGTATCAGGACCCTTATATTCCCCAAATTTCTCATCCTCGGGGCTAGCACCTCCTGACTCTGTTGATCTTGCTGTTGAATCTTGGCTCTTTCGATACCACCGCTCTGGGACCTAGTCGTTAATATCATCTTTGCCGTCGTTGATCAGGCTTGGTCGTCCAGGCCAGTACCGTGGATTTCGGTGCACTGATACGGCGACTAACGATATGAATGTCTTGCTTGGGACCAAATGACTCTTGCCATCGATAGTAATGAGCTGGCCTTGTTCCGAAGGCCTTCTTTAGGAATTTCGACAACCGCAGGCGTCATTCTCAGAGCCTCGTTCATACAAGCGCCCAATATGCTGGCCATCAGGGATTGATCACGCTTTCATAGTCCCACAAGCATGGGTCGCCGTCACCACATATCTCGTCAATGTCATTGTGAAGACTTCTTTGTGACGCTGACTTGTTTGCCAGCTCCAACCAAATAAACTGAAGCACACCTGCCGAAGTCTCATGTCCAGCAGCTAGCATGATAAAGGTGTTTCCACGGATGTCATCCCGTGATAGTGCCCCCTTATTCAGCCCTTTGCCTTGCTGCTGAGGACCGACATCAGTTCCATAGCTGGATCTTACCAGTCGGCCCATGAGGTCCATACCATCTATATGCTCACCTCTGCGGGCTTCGGTAATCTTTTCATCCATTAGCTCCTGCATATACTTTCCAAACTCTTCAGAAGATTTGGTCGCAGTTTGAGTCCTCTTGAATGGCATCAGCACTATTCTTAGTTAGCATTGGTGACTCACCATAGTCTCGTGCCGTACTTACAGGGAAGCCATCGTGGTAGGAGGAGGAGCATAACAATATTCTCCAAAAAGGCTGCAACGGCGGTGGCAAAACTCAGTTTATGACCAGCGATGGGCTTAGGAGATCTATACTTTGTCATCTTTAAGTCAACTTTTGAGGGTAATGACTCTCCAGGCCATATTAACTTAAGACCAAAACCGACATATGCGATAATGTTCAGTATCAGCCTCATTATATCCTGATTGAGTGTAGTGATAGTACCGCTATTCCTCCCATCTGGTCCCATCCACATTTTGACCAGCCCTTGGGCCTGTTGAATTGATTCTCTGAATACAAGGGCATTATTCTTTTCGTTGAACGAGGCCGAGGTTGCTTTCCTGTGTATTTTCCAAGTGCTCCCCTTGGCGGCCAGGACATTATCGCCAAATTGACGTAATATCTCATACGTCTCGACGCACTTGGGGAAGTGCTCCCGTCGAGAACAGATTTGGCGAATAGCCTCGGCATTGCAGACCACCAAGAATAGCATCCCTGGCGATACTACAAGAAAAACATCTCCTCTGCGGGCAAAGCCTTCATGCCCTACACGATAGGAGAATCCAGGTGTCAAGACTATGGTAAGCCATCGCGTCAATAACAGCTCAAACACGGCAGCCTCAACTTACTCGAGCCAGCGCTCCCACCAAACTTTAGGGAATATTTTGATGATTGGAATCCAGACTTTATGTGTTAACATCCAGGGCAAGAAGAGTGGTGAGCAAGCTGCGGAGCTTATGTAAGCTATGGAACGTGTGTCGTGAGAAGGCAGACCATACGAGCAATACTATAGGGCAGGCCACTTCCTTTTGACGACACAATGTTTCGTCGTAATTTACTTATGAACATGTATATGAAATACAGAATAGTCGTTTAAATTAGCAATATAGCTGCCTGGATAATGGGCTGATTCCCCAAGTAGAGCATAGCGGTATAGGGTGACCTCCATCGTATTGACGGAGCTCTGCTGAGTTGAATATGCTTGCACGTCAGGCCTGATGAAATGTCAACAGTAAACCCTCTTGATGCTGAGGATTCAAAAGGCAGGCAATGAGAGGAACCAAAATGACTTGGTTTCGAATTTGGCGGAACAAAACAAATATGTTTTATTGTCCCTCCTTCTGTGCGTTGGTGGAGGCGTTGGTTGATTCAACCAACGCCTCGACCCATTGACGTTTATTTATGATATGACCTGACATCTGAAACTAGGATCGTAGCGTCATCCACAGAGTTACATCGGTTAAACCAAGTGCAATTTGTTTCTTAGCCAACTCCGGTTGTTCGTGCTTTAGAGGAGCACAGAGACAGGACATCTATGTTGACTTGTACTATGTGGCTGGGAGATAATAAGATGAAATTGAGCTTTGCCATATGCCAAACCGCAAGTGCAGCCACAGAAATGGAGATGATATCTATCATAGCGTGTAATAGTGTCAGTACAATGGTTATCATCATTGTGAATTGGTGGTATAATAAGAGATAATCATCACTGTGAGATACGAACTTGATTAAGGAGGATGAGATATGACAGTATGTTGTTCAGGTGGAACCCATAATGAGTAATATACTGTAGCAGACACGTCCCAAAAGACTATGCATACCGACTTGCCGACTTACATCGTAGCAATCGCGTTGAGACTGTCGATATGGCTTTCCTCATCGATTGAGTTCCCACAGCCTTGCGGATACAACTCTGTAGTCTATATTGCAGATCTCCATATCAATAAGTCGGCGACTACGACAATTAAGCATGTTATTCCACGAGCAATATTGTTAATAGCATGCTTTCATGCGCATTTTTGTAGAGCGACTGATGCAAAAAGAACATAAATCCATTTTATATACATACAGAGTAAATACGTATTTGGGTTGGCAGATTTAGTCAACCCTTAGAGATAATTCGATTAATTTCAACCTTAATTTCCTCTGATAGGCCCAGCATGAGACATCCAGAGGTTGGAACAAGCCATTGGAATTATCATAATAAAGACATCGGTGAAATGATTTACACTTAGGTCATGATAATAATGATAAAGCCGGTTGAAGTCACAGTTACAGAAAAGTTATCTATACTAATCCAATGTTGATCGCTATTTCACCCTGAAACGCATCCATTTATTATGAGGATCTTGTCGAGATGGGCGGGAGGCGTTGCGGGCGTTTTCACGGATTGGTTTCAGGACCTTAGTCTGGCAGGTAGCTTGACAACGTCTCTCTACCTAACTTCTAACTTAAGGGACTACCCAGGTGGATTCCGTCGCCCTCTAGGGGGCTTCTGCAGGGAGTAGGTGCAATAAGGATGCTCTAATTACAGTCTATGCCGTTTCTAGTTTAAACGGTGGACCGGGCAGACTCGAAATTCAATGGAGCTCTGTTCTTTCTTCTCCATCAAATGCGCAGAGAGGAACCTGGACAGATCGTCCATCCGCGACTGACTTGACAAGGGTCAGGCAGGTCGTCTCCCAAAATTTCGGTATCTTGACCATCATTAAAGGGTGCCAAACTCCCTTTGAACCCCGATATTTATTGCCCGACACAGGTCTCGTGACGGAGACGATATCGCTGTACAGTAAACCCTTTTCTCGACTACAGTACTAAAACCATATCGGCTGTTCCGCCATTCATCCCTCTTCATCGACCGCTTGTTTTGTTCAGTTCGTCACCACCTTTCGCAGCGCGACCAACATACGTGCGTGCGACGCTTGAAGGCCCCCTTTTACGAACCACACACTCTGTGCTTGCTTGTGACAAAAGAACGACCGCGTATAGACTGCCATTTCCAAGTTTGACTATTTCCTGTTCCTTTCAGCATGTTTAGCGTGGCTGCAACAGTTGAACACATAATACCATTTTCCAGCTCGCCTGTTGTCCTTGTCAATTAGGTAGTATAGGACTGCCATCAGACCTTCGAATCGAGCGCGACGACTCGCCATGACGCAGCATCGACCAGACGGGGACGTCTCGCCCATGGACGTCAGTCCTCGTTCTGTTTCTCCCGCGAACAAGAATTTCCAACATGCTACTCCCCCTATTTCCAAACCAACCTCCGATACTCTTCTACCTCCTGTCGATCTCAAAATTCCAGCCTCGTCAGACCCTCTAGGTTCGACCAAAGAAACGAAACCAGCTTCAAATGAACTGACTTCGGGCCACGGCTCGGCGCCTTCATCGGCCATACCAAGATCCCCCCCAGCTTCGACCAAGTCGCTCAAGGACCATGGCATTAGCGACCGAGACTTTGGTCTGGTTGTTGACGCTGAGGGTCAAGACAATAGCCAGGCGCCTTCGAGGCCGAGTATACAGTTCACCCGTGCAGATGGAGTTGATACTCCTCCAACATTCATGCGAGGCAATTCATGGGAAGAGCCAGAAACCCCAGGCAAATCTCGTGGTGCCTCCTTGATGTCCAAACTCAAGGCTCTCACTAACAATGGTGGCGTGTCAACACCAAAGTCATCCACTGTGGCTGGACCTTCGAGTCAAGGCATTCAATCCAACATCAACTCCCCGACACGACCGAACCGTGGAGTCCCTGGCACTTTGACAGAGGAGGACACTGACGCTGATGCTGACGCCGAGGAAACGGCCGATGAGGGCAGCCCCGGAGATGGCAAATCGAAGAAAAAGAAACAGAAGAGGAGGATGCGCCGCGCAAAGAAGGCAAACGCTTCCACCCCCGGAACACCTCGGCACTTTGTAAGCGACATCGATGTGCTGAATAACTTCGACCAGTTGGTCAAGCGCCGTGCAAGTATGCCCGATGCAACTGTCCCTGATTATGGTGTCTCTGAAGGTGAAGGTCGAGATCGCCTGGGAATGGCTTTCCGTAGAGGAAACTCTTGGATGACTTCCGCTGTGCGACCCCATGGCGAGGAAGCTGATGAAGTTGAAAGTCCTGGAGTGGTTGGACGACGAACAGGTCACGTCCGCCGAATCACCGTTTTTGGTGGTGGAGGCGTTTCGGATGGTGATGCCATGACACCTCGACGTCCCTTCTTCACTTCTGAACGTGCGTCCACCTTTGGTGCCCAGAAGTGGAAGCAAGTCAAGAACACCCTCAAACTGCTTCGACAGAAGAAAGAAGATCGTTTTGATTATTTCAAATCGGCTGAGTTGATGGCCGAACTAAGGGCTGGTGCTCCCGCCGTTCTTATGCTTGCTAGCATGATACAAAGAGACGAACACGGGAATAAGAGAATCCCGGTTCTCCTTGAGCAGCTCAAGCTTCGCATCACCGATAGCTCCCCCATGGAGGATGACGACAAGGATCGACACTGGTTGTTCACCATAGAACTGGAATACGGAAGTGGACCGAGCAGAATGAGCTGGACAGTAACTCGAACGCTTAGAGATATCTACAATCTACATTTGCGTTATAAGTTTGCTATCAACAACGAAAAGTACATGCCTGGGCGTATGGACTTAGGCGGCCGGCCGAAGCAACCCAAATTTCCATACTCGGCCTTCCCTTATCTTCGTGGTGCCCGCAAGAAGGGTGAAGAAAGCGATGAAGAAGATCAAGCCAGTATTCGCGGAGAAGAAGAGACAGCTGGCGAAGGTACAGCAACCGAAGCAGCAGGAGACGGCATTTTCAGTGACCCCGAACACCCCGGTGGCCTTCCACGAAGAAAGTCTCGTAATTTCCTTGGGATGGGCCCGAGGCGCAGATCCACAGGTATCACCGATCCCGGGGATATGTCCAATCCTGAGGGCCCAGGAATGCCTGCTATGGATATGGCAACGCGAAGACAACGTTATGTTGAGAAGCAGCGGCGTATTCTTGAAAAATATCTGTCTGAGATGATCAGATGGCTCATGTTCAGAGCTGACAGCAACCGCCTCTGCCGCTTTCTCGAACTCTCGGCCCTTGGCGTTCGCCTCGCCGCCGAGGGTAGTTACCACGGAAAAGAGTGTTACCTTCATATCCAACCTTCGAAGGGTCTAGACTTTCGCCGTGCTTTGACACCAGCGAAGGTTATCTCTCGACACAGTCGAAAATGGTTCCTCGTACGACAGAGCTACATCGTCTGCGTAGAGTCCCCTGAAAACATGAACATTTTTGATGTGTACCTTGTCGATTCGAAGTTCAGTATTTCCTCGAAGCGAAGTAAGGTCAAGGTAATTGGTTCTAATGAGAAGAAGGCTGAGATTGATTTGACTGTGGAGGCACCCCCTGACAAACATCACACAATGACTCTTCGTTCATCTGAACGCAAGGTCCGCCTCTTCTCCCGCAACCAATCCGTGATGAAGCAGTTCGAGGATTCGATCAACCAGATGCTCAAGCAAACTCCCTGGTATCAGAACAAACGATTTGACAGTTTCTCCCCTGTACGAAACCATGTATTTGCCCAATGGCTCGTCGACGGTCGCGACTATATGTGGAATGTTTCTCGAGCTATCAATATGGCCCGCGATGTCATCTACATCCACGATTGGTGGCTGAGTCCCGAGCTGTACATGCGCAGGCCAGCAGCTATCAGCCAGAAATGGCGACTTGACAGACTTCTACAGAAAAAGGCTAGAGAAGGTGTCAAAGTCTTTGTCATAGTGTACCGAAACGTCGAAGCTGCCATTCCGATAGATTCCGAGTATACCAAGTTTTCATTGTTGAACCTACACCCTAACATCTTCGTACAACGATCCCCCAACCAATTCAAGAAGAACCAGTTCTTCTTTGCTCACCACGAGAAGATCTGTATCGTGGATCACGATGTAGCCTTTGTTGGAGGAATTGATTTGTGCTTTGGACGATGGGATTGTCCTCAGCACCCTATCATCGACGATAAACCAACTGGATTTGAGATGTCCGAGACACCTAAGGATGCAGAGCATTGCCAGTTGTTCCCCGGAAAAGACTATTCAAATCCTCGAGTACAGGACTTCTTCAGGCTCAACGAGCCATACGAGGAAATGTACGACCGAAGCAAGGTACCTCGCATGCCTTGGCATGATGTTGCCATGCAGGTTGTGGGTCAGCCTGCAAGAGACTTGACGCGCCACTTCGTCCAGCGTTGGAACTATCTTCGCCGAGGACGGAAGCCTACCCGTCCATTGCCCTTCCTGCTCCCGCCGCCGGATGCTAATGTAGATGAGTTGAAGGAGCTGGGTCTAACTGGCACTTGCGAAGTCCAGATTCTTCGATCTGCCACCACCTGGTCTTTGGGTATCGAGCAGACTGAGCACAGTATTCAGAATGCATACATCAAAATGATCGAGGAGTCAGATCATTTTGTCTATATGGAAAACCAGTTTTTCATTACCAGTACTGAAGCATATAACACCAGAATCGTGAACCGTATCGGCGACGCTCTTGTCGAGCGAATCATACGGGCCCACGAGAATGACGAAGACTGGCGATGCGTTATTGTCATTCCCCTCATGCCTGGGTTTCAGAACACAGTCGACGAACAGGAGGGTACAAGTGTTCGCCTGATCTTGATGTGCCAGTACGCTAGTATCTGTAGAGGTGATCAGTCCATCTTTGGCAGGCTTCGAGCTGCTGGCATTGAGCCGGAAGACTACATCGCCTTCTACTCGCTTCGCCAGTGGGGAATCATGAGTAACGATGTTCTTGTCACCGAGCAACTCTACATCCACGCCAAGACAATCATTGTTGATGATCGCGTGGCTCTTATCGGCTCCGCCAACATTAATGAACGATCAATGCTTGGTAGTCGTGACTCGGAGTGTGCTGCAATCGTTCGAGATACTGACATGATCAACTCGACAATGGCTGGAAGACCATATCAGGTTGGCCGTTTTGCTCACACACTCCGACTTCGACTGATGCGAGAACATCTCGGCCTCGATGTCGACGAAATACTCGAGCAAGAGCGCCAGGCAGAGCTTGACCGTCAAGATTTCGAGAAAGAGATGGAGGATATATATAATGAAGAGAATGGTGGTCCTGCCGACTCATCAAAGCTTTCACCAAAGCGCCCGGAGCACCCACGTATTCCAAGTATCAACCATGACCTGGATGCTGCTGTTGAGATTGAAGAGAGCAGTAGCAGTAGTAGCAGCAGCAGCAGCAGCGACAGCAACGCAGAAATGGATAGCATTGTCATCAATCAAGCAGAGGATAAGGTCAAGCACGAGCTGGACGTGACCGGTTATGGGCCTGACCGTTGGAAGACTGCCGAGAAATCTGGCCTTGATGCTGGCCGCGATTCCGTTATCATTAATGGTCGCGAAGTTCTTGTCAACAATATAAGCAATGAAGGCAAGGGGACACTGCAATCACCCAAGGAAACACAGCCGCACGGTCCCCAACCTGATAACCGATATCTGGACCCAGGGAACCACAACGACGGCCTCCCCCCTGTGCCAGCTCTGAATCGTCGCACTACAGATCAACTTGGTCTGCCCCGTCCTGCACAGCTACCGTCTTTGCCCATAAGCGACGATACTGACATTGGCGGCCCTCCACTACATATCGATCCTGAAACGGGAAAACCGGTTAATGGTGTTTTCCATCCGATGGCCGCAGATATTCATTTAGCACACATTGACAAAGACTGTATGGTAGATCCGGTCAACCCCAACTTTATTGACGAAATTTGGAATCGCGCCGCTCAAAACAACACCAAGCTCTATCGCCGAGTGTTCCGCTGCATGCCGGATTCTGAAGTGAGCACTTGGGCGGAATATCGAGAGTACACGACCTACGGCGAGAGGTTCCGGGCAAGCATGGAAGGTGGCCGATCCAGAGGTGAAGACTCGGAGTTTCCTCCATCCTCGAGACATCGTGGATCCACTGCGGGTGGTGCAGGTGTTAGTGCACCAGGACCAGAGGTGATGGCCAAGGCTGTTGAAACTGAAGCGGAGAAAGCAATCGGAAAAATGACCGAGAAACTCTCTCTTGGCCACCATGAGGAGGATAGAATCAAAATCGTTATTCCTGACGAAAGCCAACACGGTGCTGATGAAAAACAAGCAATGAAAGATGGTGAGGCTATATCATCACGACCTAACACTGGGCTGGAGAATGAGAATGGTCTTGATGCACATCAACATATAGAGGCATTATCTCCTGTCTACTCGCCCGGGGATACCCCATTCCCTGCCTTCGATGGAGGCAGCACTGGAAGATACCTTGACCCGCAGACAGGTACCAAGGACAGAGAGAGGCGCACTACTTTTTCGACACTCGAGAAACCATCCTCAAGGGATACCAATGCCCCTCCACCGGGGCAGTTTGGCTCAGTGAAGCGCAGACGCCGTGCAACCACTAAGAATAGCAGACGCGGTTTCAGTATCGATGACATGCCATCACGAGGGCAGGCTGAAGAGCTTTTAAATATGGTCCAGGGCAACATTGTGCAGTTCCCTTATGATTGGCTCCTTACGGAAGAGCAGAACGGGAACTGGGGTTACCAAGTCGATGGCGTTGCCCCCTTGGCAATCTAGTAAGTCCAGCTCTTCATGTGAACGACTGAGTACTAACAAAATGAAGTAACTAAACGTGCCCTTGATCCTGCTCTCCTTGAAATAGTGTAATCTGACTCTAACTTTGCACAAGGCATGGCAAGGAGTTGATCAGGTGTTTTTGCGCTTTATTTATGGGAAGCATTCGACAAGCGCGTCCATCCTCTCTCACACGCGCATGTTTCTTTCTATCTCCTTGTTCTTATTCATACATGTTTGTCCAGGGAGCCTTGCGTAGGCCTATATTACAATTATAATACATCTGATTTGAGGCTTCAAACTCTTTCGCTTACCCAGATAGCACCTCGGCAACCTGCGCGGATGACGCCAGTGAGAAGCCAGTGAGGCTCTGCCTTTTGTGCATCATGTTCTACAGCATGATCGAGATGCTCCAGTTCTTCATCTCTTATCACCCTGAGGGTTTTGACAAGATCTGACAACTCCTTGCCGACTTCGTAACCCTCGGCTTCCCACTGCGTAATCATTTCCAGTAATGTCCGAATTTGTTCATTGTAGTGGCCACCAATTTCTGTCTCGACAGCCTCTGTACAAGCCATAGCAGCTTCGTAACCGAGCATAGCGGTAGACCATCCAAGACCAGTAGCCATAACGGACCACAAAGGGTACAGGGCAGTAGGGCGAATACGATGCTTGTGAATGAGGCTATTAAAGGTCTTAAAGTGACCGTCTTCTTGATCGTACATATGCGCCATCAGCTTGCGGAGATGAGGCTTTGATCGGAGAAGGATGGGTGATTGGGCAGCATAAATGAGGACTGCAGCAAGCTCACCAGCTTGATTGACACGAAGCTAACAGCATATCAGTCACCAATCAAATGAACTGGTCTCGGAAGTCCTACAGCAGAGTCGAGGAAATCACGTTGCTCCTGGGTGAGTGCTTTGAGTTTCTTGGGAGGCTCAGACGTTGAGACTGAGGCTGGAGCCGTTGCGATGGTGCGAATACATGACTTGTAAAGACTTGGTGTTGATCGCACTAAAAGAGAGCGCAGAGGTTTGGCAAGAGTTCTGGATGAAGCCATGTTTGCTACACAGACCCTAGTCTACTTCTCAATCATCAATTGATGGCGGACCCTGAAATCGAACGATGAGTATGACGGGCGCGGACATTCTCGGTGAGTAGTCCGCTCACCGAGAACGGACTAAAGCTTCCCCGGCATTCGCACCAGCCACACACGTGCAGCAGCATGACATAACCTTGCCCAATGAGGTGTTGGGTGGGAACTACGAATTCAGAACAAGTCTTGAAGGAGAAGCTATTGTGCTCTTCTGCTTTACGCACAATCCTCTTCTCTTCCACACTTCCGCCTCTTTCATCGCTCGACCCCCTGCGCGCACGATTACGCATCTCCCTCGACCCTTTTCTATCACCAAATTCTCCCTTGGTTCACCTAATACGCGTGTAACGCGGTTGCGCCTAGCCATACGACCGTTGTCCCCTAAAGTCATTGCGTTCTGTGTCATTACTGGCTCACCACAAGGTCGCCATGTCTGACGTCGACGACGAGCTTCTCGCTCTCGCAGGTGGAGATTCTGATGATGAAGGTTCTGGCAACGAGAGCAGAGGCGGATCGCGATCGCCGCCTCCAGCGAAGAGAAGTGGTTCCAAGAAAGCGGCGGGAAAGAAGTCGCGACGAGCAAACGATGACTCTGAGGAGGAGGGCGAGGCGTGAGTGATGTTCCTTAAATTAGTGGCATGATGATCTGAGCTTGAATACTGTCTTGGTCTCCTGGTCCGCTTACTACTGGCGGCTCACCCAGATCACTGCCATATCCTTACAGTATGCTGACCCATCGTGATTTAGGTCTGCACCAGGAACGCCAAATTCCCTTGAGTCCGCTCCCATGGATGAATCTGACTCCGACGATGAACCATCGCGAGGTCGAGCAGCGGCTACAGATGACGACGACGAGGCCTACCCAATTGATGGTAGATACAAGAGTCAGAAGGAAAAGGCAGAGATCATGGCCTTGCCAGAACTCGAACGTGAACAGCTTATTGCTGAGCGTATGACGGACATAGAGCGTCAGCGACAGAACCGCCTGCTTCGCCAGATGGTGAGTAACATGGAGAATGAGGAGCGCAAACAGGTCAAAAAGAAGCGCAGTGCTGGAACTGCGGAGCTGGAAGATGGCGATCGAAAGGCATCACGACCGCGCACAGAGAGTAAGAGGGAAACCGCGATGGACTCTTTGCGCCAAGCCAAGGCAGAGAAAGCACGTCGACGGGAGGATCTCGAGAGACGAAAGGATAATTACTCTCCACGCAGACGTAACTCTGGGGCTGAGGATAGTGACGATGACTATAACCGCGGACGCTCCCCAACTCCCGATGCCGACGAAAATCGCGATCAACCGCCAGCTGAGTTACGCGATTATGACCGTGTTCGATTGGGGCGAAACGAGTTCGCTCAGGTCTGTTTCACACCTGGATTCGAGCAGGCTATCACTGGATGTTATATACGTATTGCTCTTGGACCGCACCCTGAAACTGGTATCGAGCAGTATCGCATGGCAGCCATCAAAGGTTTGTAACAAATAGTATAGTACAGCAGTAGGACTGACATATGTCGTAGGCTTCACGACCGGTCGACCCTATGCTCTTCAGGGGCCTAACGGTGCATTCGTTACAGATCAGTATGTCAAGGCGGCGCATGGTAAGGCAATCAAGGAGTTTCCTTTCATCGCCGCCTCGAGCGGAAAGTTCACAGACGTATGTTAAACTACACCACTTTCCTGGATTGATACTGACCAGACCACAGAACGAGCTCAATCGGTACAAGGTCACATGCCATAATGAGGGTGTGACACTTCCAAGCAAGGCTTTCCTTACGGATAAAATCGATGAGATCAACGGCTTGATTAATCATTCATGGACCACAGAGGAAATTAAGGCTCGACTGGCACGGATAAAGGAGCTGAAACGGCGATTCGACCCCGCCGAGCGAGAGCGCATCGCCCACTTACTTGAGGAAGCAAGACAACGTGGCGAGCACGATAAGGCCGAAGAGTTACAGGAAGAGCTCGACAACCTTGGTTCCCAGCGCTTAGCATTCAGGACGAGTCTGGGCTCATCAAAGCACAACGAAGTACCCAAGGGCCAAACTGAGCAAGATCGACTGGCTGAGCGTAACCGAGAAAACCGGCGCTTGAATGCGGAAGCTGTACGAAAGGCCCAGTTGAAGGAGAAAGCGAAGTCGAAGGAGATCGAGGCAGCCCTTAAGCGTGGTGAAACCTACCAAGGTGACATGTCAAGACGACTAAGGACCAAGGCCAAGTTCGTTTATGATGCTAACGAGAAAGTGGAACAAAAGCCAGCGGCTAACGGCAGCGGAGCCAATACTCCTGGGACCAGCACACCGAAGGCGGCATCCAAATCTCAACTACTACCTCATCTTGCAAAGTTGCAAGAGGAGAAGCATAAGGAGAAGGGCATCCCTACTATACATAAGCCGCTGATGGATGACGATGTGATTGGGTCACTAGACCTGGATATTGACGTCGAAATTTGAGGGAGAACACAAAGACAGGGGCATCATGAGCAGCGTTTCGGTTGTTATGTTTTTTTTTACACATTGCGTTACGGCTAGAACCAAAAGACAGGGCAGGGTGGATTGCATCCATATCTCGACATAGAGTCTACTTGGAGCCCAAAAGGATTTGTCACTAGATAGACCTTAGTAAATAGTCACTATAATTCTGATGATCCGACGTTTCCTCTGTCATGGTCAATACGTAAGCCTATGGTGAGGGTCAGCTCTGCCAGGGCAGTGCTAGTACGATGACGACTGCATATATTCACCCTGAACGACCAACGCTTTCAAGGTTAATGGGCACATTTGTGCCAAATGTAAGCCTGGCGTAGCCCACGAAGCCAGTAAATTGTCCTACTTCTGTCACTGTATTTAAAGTACAACGTTACCTAGGCCATTAGTGGCATCCTTTTCTGATATTACTCCTCATATTTCGTCTACTATTTATCCAAACTCCGGCGGTCTTGAAGAAAATCAAACTTGCCCTGCATCCTCCGGAGAACATGGTAGGCCATCATCAAGGTTTCCGTCAGGATGACGATGGCTACCATCTCTGCTTTTTTCCTTATCCTCTCAACCAGAGCTAGCCTTGGTCTGGCGACCTTGCCATCCATCTCGTTCTCAAACTTCTCGCACATCTCGAGGTACAAACGAGGATTGTCAGTGATGACACCATCTATCAAGGCTGGTCCCTCGATGTTCCCATTAAGGTGTCGCGGGTGACCCAGATTCTGGCGGATACACCATTCCATGCGGCGAGGTTCGTTGACTGTCCACGTCATGAGAAGCTTGTCAGTCTGTCGAAGTTCACGCAGAAAGAGTCTTCCCGATGGACCGATGAGAGTCTTGTGGTTGAGATTGAAGCCGAGGTTAGGGACACGCAAGAAGTGGTGTGAATATAAGAGGGAGGTGCTGATATGGGCCAATGGATAAGTTGGGAATTGACTACGTGCGGCCTGCAGGAATGATGCCTTTTAAGTATGTCAGCTGCAAGATGTAACAAAGCATCTACGTGGAAGTATAGAAACTGCGATAAGGGTGTCAGCTTAGGAAATACAACTTACATTCCAGCACCCCAGGATAATACGTTGATTCCATGGCACAGGTGCCTGAACGCTGTCTAGATCCCTCGCAATTGCAGCCATCAATTCTACCGGGTCATCATCCAGCTGGGAGGCCTGCATTAGCTTCCGTCTTATGACACATGCTTGAGCTGATGCAGCAGACCTTGATATCTAGAACAACCCAAATGTCTTCCATTTTCGGCCCAATCAACCATTGAAGAAAGTCTTTGAGCCGCGGCATAGGTTCATGAGGCTCGGCTACTGTACGTAAAGTGCTGAGATACTCCCATGAGCATTCTCCAATGCGAGCGTCTATGCCAAAGCAGCGTTTGAGGGATGCATCCTGCTCAAATGTAAGCTGAGCCGAGCCGAGCCAAGTAAACCAAGTTGTGATGGAGATTAGCATGCCATGGTGGAGAGCGGACCTACTACTCTAACTTACATGTGATATCACAGCAACACCATCGGCCGAGATATGAATATCGGTTTCTATCGCATGAGCACCAGCTTCGACTGCACCTCGGAAGGCAGCCATGGTGTTTTCGGGCCAATCAAGCTTCGCGCCGCGATGAGCGATTGCCTGTGGGAGTCGCCGTGAAGGATCTCGTGGTGACGGTCTGGCGGTGGCCCATGGTGCTGTTATGAGGTGAATTTAGTGGTGTTGTAAAGGCCTATCTTCGAGTTGGCGTGTCTGACCTTGAGGAACAGGCCCTGGTTGGGCGTCATCCTTAATTAAAGACCGTCTCTCCGCCGCCATTGTCGATGTTTGCGGATACTGACGAAGCCAAGTTGATAAAAGTCTAGAAGGGTTACGGTTATACACTCGCTCGCAATAGAGTCCCCAACAATGAAACGACTGAAGTGACCAAACAAATCGATGAAAACACGCTTTCTTGCTTAGGAAACTCAAGCTCATGGATTCTGGAGACAAGTTAAGACCAGGGCGCTCAAGCGCTTTCGTTGGCCATGGTCAATGGAGCTTTCTCCATTAGATCCACTGCTAAGAAAGGAAACACGAGATAGCAAAATTGGGGAGTCGTGACAGCCTGATTCACTTGGAGACGTCATTCCACGGTCTTAAGTTAGTTAGTCGTTACGTATTGTGCACGGCCACACTTGACTTCACCAGCCTCACTCCTGTGATGCTACCTCAACAGACGGCAAGAAATGAATGCTGTTTTTGATTTCGAACTGCCATTCAATCAAGCTCGTGTCAAAGACTGTGATGTAGCTCAGGTATTCAGATAGTCGACCATGCTCTCAACCTTTGTCTTCCATCAGGCTCAATCTCGAATCCCAGACCTACCTGAATCAGGTCATACCAGGCTTGACCATGCACTCGACAGCGGGCTAGGCTTTAGGTCGATGGTTGAGTATGCAGAGCGCCCAGAGCACCCACCAGTCACTTGAGCTAATTGGAGAAGAAAGTAGATAGGAGTACTGTGGAGAGTTAATGGTGCTCTAAAGCCATGTGCAGAATCGCCAAAAGACAAATAACAAACTCAACAAGACCGCTCTCAACTTTCAATGAATTCTCATTAATGGTCTCGAAAAATTTCAAAGCCCATCAAGTACTGGCTGTCGCAAACACTGACCCCAAGAAACAGTAATGCACACCTTAGACAGTATAAGATGTACGCCCGGGTCATTTCCCGGGGCACACGGGCTATGGCTAATGCATACTGCAAAGAGCCAATCTTGTGTCTATCCGGTTCAGATCATGCGGCTTCCTTCAGTGCCCATGTCCTTGCTGCTGTGGCCCGGTCCTTTGGCTTCTCCAACACCGGCAACGTATGTCAGATCCGGTCCAATCTTCCCTTGAGCAGACGTCGACTCTTATTGCTGCGTACTGCTTTTTCTGCAAGGCCGGGCGGCCGGTGGAGCCAGATACGTGCGATTGGAAGCTGCCAGGAAAGCTCTCGACGTCGGAAGCCAGCGATCAAACACACCGGCCCAGAGCGTACCAACTACGTGTATCACATTTCTTAACTGCTGGACAGGTGGTGTTGTTTGTCTGCGTTCTTTCATTCTTTTGCAAGGTACGAGCTAATAACTAGATGATCTAGCATGCCGCATTGCGAGGCCGGTCCTTGAACTGACCATCATCCTTATTCCACGCCCCTGTTTTCTCTGAAGAGAGTCAAGAGACTTCAAAATAACGCCAAGAGTCTGGTTGTTTCCTCTTCCCAGGTATAATAGTTAGCCAATATAAAAGCAATCGCTCAAATAAAAACACTCAGTGACAGTTATTTCCCAGTCCGATCCCCGATTCATCACATCATTAGAATTCATGTCCCCATTATTAACTCCGTTATCAGATCCATATCAAGTTCAAAGAGATTTTATCCCGTGGTATCATTCTGTCCGCCGCCCTTATAAGATAGGAAACGTCTCCATACGGTCAGACATCATATATCCTTCATGGCCGTGCTGTTGAGGCACCATGTGGTTGCGATAGTCAACGCTCTCCACACTCAGTCCAAGTTCCGAGGGGCCGACCTCCTCACCCGAGCTCAGGCTCTCGTCACTCATGCTGAGAACGCTCTGGGGAGGCTGCGGGTTGTTTCCAAACTCGGCGATGCTGAAACCGCCAAGGTCCCAGTTGTCGGGGGGCCAATCACCACAGTTGCTAACAGCGATTGCACTCTCGTTGACAAGTCCCTGTCCACCATAGATAGCATCGTATACGTTGTGCATTCCACCATCCAATGACCCAAGTAATGTCTCCCACTCAGTTGTCGAAACTCCGTTCACCTTAGCGGCAGCCACAGAAGAGTTCACTATCATGTGGTGGGCCTGGTTTGTAGGGCCAGAATGAGAGTGTGCACGGGTCTGTTGCGGCGATGTTGGTTGCGGCGACTGTGACGAATGGGCAAAGGGCATGAAGTCGAGGTTACGGGACAGGGGGGAAGCCTTGCGGTCTGGGTTGGGAGACATCGACATGCGATGTCCTCGCTGGATCACAGGAACCTCGGCCTGGAGATTGTCAAAGGATTGACGACCCCGAGCACGGTAAAATTCTGGTCGCTGGTCGGCAACGCAGGGCATCGTCATGCGACGCATCCTCTCCTGGTGATCGATCAAGTTGCTCTCGCTGGCTGCAGCGGCCGGGAGCTGACCGAGTGGGTAGACTGCGCTGCCCTTCTTCTTGGATTTGGTAACCATGCCTCTTGGTGGCGACCCTCGGTTGGAGACGGGCGCGGGGGGCATCGACACCTCACGTGAAGTGTGCATTGGCGAGACAGCGGATTCGTCGACTTTGACCAGCATGCTAGCCACACGCTTAAAGTCCAGCGAGCCAGAGCCTTCAGTCTTGTCCAGGATATGAATCACGGCATTTACCAATCGCTCGTCATCGCGCATAAGTTTGCTGTCTTGCTTGAGATCAATCGAGTGGTAGAGTAGCGCCATGCCACAAACAACCAACAGATCAGTCTTATTCAAACAAAATGAGAAAGTCATACCGCGTTCTTCGAGTAGCTGAACAATTTGAATGATGTGCTTGCTCGACGCTCCGGTTGCCATCAGGGCCGAGGCTGCCTTAGAACCCAAACTGGAACCTACCGCCGGACGATAGATAAGTGTTCGGATGAAGTAGTAGGCCAGTGCCAACAATGGTGAGCGGCTACCAGTCACATCTGTGGACGGCTTATCTTGGACGAAGTTCAGTCGCAGATGAGAAGGCAGCTGGTCATACCAAGCATCAAGTTCACTCTCAAGAGCAGCCATCTGCTGAAGTGAAATCTCGTAGGAGCTTGAGGCGGGGTAATTCTTCTCTAGCACCTTGGCGAGAATACGAGTCGCACGGAACAAGGCTAGCGCACTCGACAGGCGAGTATACTCACCAGGAAGTGTAGGCTGGAAGCCCTTTTCGGTAACATACTCATCATCGGTGTCGCAAGGATACTCGGTCTG